AAAAAAAAAACATTCATCAGCTTGATCATGCATGTAACTAAGGGACCGACCCGCGACTCAAATTTAGTAAGCCAACGCAGCGTTGATCCAGGGCGCCTTGTTTCTCGAGGCCGCCCTGTGGCTCGGTTGCTGATGTCGTGCAGCATAAGGCAGATGGCATGCGCAGAGCTTTCAGTACTACAGATCTAAACACTCTTGCATTCTCGGGCAAAAACCCTGCTGAGGGCTGCGTCTAATCAACACAAAAAGACGCGCATCTTCATACATACATTCACTGTGGAAGGTGCGAAAACGACAGGGGTATACAAGTCAGAAATCAACCGGGGGAATTGTACCCACGCATTTACCATTCACAAGTCAAGAGGATCAATTCCTCAACATCAAGGGATTACCCAGGAAACTAATGGACGAGTTCCCGAGGAAGTTCTTTCACACAAAAAAACGCCCAGATTTTTTTTCATCCAAGGGAGAGAGAGAATCAAACATCGAGACACATCATCATTCAACGATAGAGGAGAGAGAGACGAGGGAGAAATGTTGAGATAGAAGATGACGAGCTCCGAAAAGAGGAAGTTCGGCGTTGCCGCCGTGCACTCACGCAAGGGATGAAGATCCGCAACAACAAAGGCTCATTCACCGTTAATTCCAATATGACCCTGAGCCAATCCCTCAATCAACTCCAATCAATCAGTCCTCATGCGGCACCGACGATCCCGGTCGTCGCGTGCTAACTCCCACCACTGCGATTGTCACCCCGCCGACATAAACTCGACGCAGTTCGCCCAGATCCCACAGTCCGTCGTGGCGATCAAGCGCACAACCGGCCAGCCTATCGTCAACCCGACAGGACTTTCCGACTCCCACCAAACACTCTGCCCAGTCACAGCTTCCCGGAAGTTGGCTCAGGAGTCGAGAACGTAAGAGAGATTTGCGGACGCACTTGCGAAATTTATGGCAGCGAGGAGGGAGGCAAGAGAGGGAGAATGCAGGGGGAAAGTTCAAGTGTAAGAGGAGAAGCAGGAGGAGAAGACTTTGAGAAGAGCCCTTCGTGGAACCCATGTTGATCCTTCGGAACTCAAGATTCAACCAATCAGATTCGCCGCGCAATAGGAAGATCCTATTGCCCACGTACCTGATTGGCGAGTGGGAGTTATCAAAGGATCGGGGCATCATGCGCTGAGTTCAGAGGGTGGGAAGGAAAAAAGGCGCAAGAAATAGCCCAAGACGACTCCAAGATTCAGACGATCAAGAAAGGGAAATGGGCGCGCAAAGAGTAGACCGGGGGAGAGAGAGAGAGGGAGAAAAACAGTTACGAGGAGAGAGAAAGACGAGGAGGAAGGAAAAAGGAGCATGGGAGAGAGCGACGCGGGGAACAAAGAGGAGAAAGCTTTGCATGCGCGGCGCCGTCAACAAAAAAAAAGAGAAAAAGGCACCGAAACAGTTACAACTTGGCTACATCCTAAACCAATTCAAAATTGAAATCACCATATCCGCGCGCGAAAGAGCGACGCGGGAAAAGAAAGTCCTACGCCTATTCGTATCCCCACAAAATTCCGAGAGTTTTTCCCAATGCGACCGAGAACATTCACACACAAAAAGGACACGTCGAAGTTCCGCTTATCCCGGAATTTCCAGCTGCCAGGCCCAATTCCCTGTGCGCTCGCTAAGGCGCACGTAAATTTCTATGTATTTCCCGAATTGCAAAAAGAAAAAGCAGGACCCGGGAATCATAAAAGCTTCCAAGAGATGGGGGCCCAAAATGCAGCACCCAAAATCAAGAAAACGAAACAGGGTTTTTATGGGGTTGGTATGATACAAGAAAAAGGAGGGGTACGAAAGATAGCACGGGTTCGGGAAGTAGTTCGTTACATATGTGACGCGCAGGGGGTTCCAAAATTATGCGATCTCCTCATTGCATGTTATGGCGGAGAAGGACATAGAGAGAGAGTGAACAGAGTGATACATGAGGAACCAAGGGTATCAACAAACGATCTAGCCAGAGTCCATATTGACGCCATCTTCAATTGCAATCTTTTCGTGGTTCTGTTGGCTCGTGCTTTTGGAATCACCGATGGTCGTCCAGGTGACGCCATCATCGTCTGCCGGTTCTCCGTGTGCTCTGCACCCCAGTTTGTCGCTGCCCGTTGAATCAGAGCGTAGGTTGACGTGATCGTTGCTGGCGTGATCTTCGTGAAGCTTACTGATTTGTGCCGCCTTCCCCTGCCTATTAGATGAAGAGAGCGGGGGGGGGGAATAGTCACGTGATCGGGATCTACCGCCTAGTTGGAATGGGCCAGTAGAGGCGGTACATGGAGGGGATCCCACGGGGAGGGCGGGGAGAAAGTGGGGGTAGGTAGCGATTCATTTCTTCTACCGTCCCCGGAAGCTACTCATATCGGATGATCCGGTGGAAACGAGGAAAGTGATCGCCGCTATGAGGGAGGGAAGCAAGGTAGTCGCGATAGAAGGAGGAGAGGGTGCGGAGGAGCGCCGCTCGAAAGAATTCGTAGTGGCGACAGGCGGGGATTGTCCCTGTGGCTACTCAGTAGACTTCTACCACGTTGCATCGCTCCCATGCACCGCTGAACAACAGGATATACCAGAAGAAGGTGGGGGCAGCAGGTTGAAGGGATGGGTGGGGCTAGACAGTTGCGAGTAGGCGGAAAGAGTAAAAGTCGCGGAAGAGATGGGGAAGGAAGGGATGGAGGGGGAGGGTCGGGGGTGCGGATCTGTTCGAGGGTGAGAAAATCAAGGGGACGGCAGGATAACGTCCGAGGACGAAGGCCTATCGCCTGCATCGGTACGTAGGCGAACTGGGGGACGGTTGGGGCTGGAGGAGGAGGGGGATCTGCTCCGTCTCCGTCGTGAGGTGCTTGGGGAGGCGGCTGCGGGGTTGCCATCTTCGGGCTTCGGCGGCTCCGGATTTCTGGTCGGATCGTCACCGATGCGCAGGCTTGCTCCGCTGGCTAACTCCAGTTGGCGCTTCCCGGTGACAATTTCTTCCCGCTTGCGTGCGGCCTCAGGATCTTCCGCTTCCGTGCCCGTGCGCGCGGCTTCCTCCGGCAGGGCTTCCCACTCAGATCCGGTTTCTTCTTCCTCCTCTTCTTCTTCACTCAGCTCGCCCTCGCTATACTCGTTATAGCTTCCCTCCTCCGACGTTTCGTCGTCGTCGTCTTCTTCATCGTTGTCGATCACCACTTCCTCCGCCTTCGGATAAAAGGCATGAGGGATGATGTCGTAAGGCTTCAGATACTCCTGCCGTGATGGTAGTGTATCTTCGTCCTTGGGTTCCTCCAAGCACGCAGTCCATTGAAGGTACGGATCCAACGACCGCTCGAGAACGTACGGAGCGGGGCTGTCGTCACTTTGCGAAAAGATGTCGAGCGAGAGATCATCCGCCAATTGCACGATTGGCGCGATGAGCTCCTGCACATTCAACTGGCGGCGGCCCGGCCGTACCGATCCAAAGAGAAAGCCGAGAAGATCGCCCTCGATGTTAGTCCTCCAAGATTATATGATTAGCAGTTCCAAATTTTCGATCCACGCAGGATGCTCGCTGGTCTGCGTCCACGTCACCTGTACTTGGGCCAAGCAGAAGGACAGCTCGTTAAAAGTTTCGCGCCACAGTCGCCAATGCCCAGGATTAATAAGCGGGACAGAAAGAGGCTCGAATGAGAAGGAAAGAGAAGGATGAAGATCGGACTGCGAGAAGGTGGGGAAAAGAGAGGGGAGACCGAAAATAGAGAGAGGAGCGAGGGGATCTGCATGGTTCATTGGGGACGAGGGAAAGGGACGAGGATGGGGATCGCAACCGGCGGCTCGCGCGGAGAACGGCGGATCTCGCCAAGATCCGGTGCAAAGGTCGGGATGAGGTTATGCCCTGGTCGGGCAAGACCGTGCTGCCACACGTTGGACACCTGCTCCGTCCACTCTCGCATCGAGGTCAAGATCGTGGTATGTCACCGTGGATTGAGCGAACTGATGTCGCCACTGAAAGCTGCAACCGTGGTGACGTGGCTCGTTCCAGGAGCCACTCGCTGATGAACTGCTATACCTCCGCTAGTACCACTGCCTGTGAGCTCCCTTCGAATCGAAACGAGGCGGAGGCACACACACCCACGTCGCAAAAGAACTGCGCCAAATGCCGAAGATCCGTATTAAGCCGTGGATGACGAACTTGCCGAATTTTCGAGATGTGGCCACGTGGCTGCAACAACTATTTGTCAAGAGCTCGCTCCGTGATGAAACTCATGGCGAGGTCGGAGAGGAAGACGAAGGGCACGAGGGAGAGAGCGGGGAGAGAGTTAGATTGTCGTCATTCTCCTCACTTTCGGAGGAGGGAGAGGGACGAAGATGAGAGAGAGGAAGAGGACGAAGGTAGGAGGTATGTCGGACGATGGGGACAGAGCTATGGCTGGCACTAGCCTCAGGCGCGATGCGCACCGTGTTGGCGCCGTTAAGATCGAGCTCGACAATGCGAAAGAAGCCAGAGAACTTGGGAGCGAGTTTGCGGTCACGTGCACATTTACGTACCTGCACTAGGTCCCCTAATTTACATTGATGTTGGGGCCCAGCATATCCATTCCGAGCCTCGTAGCTACGGACCTGCCTACCGTGGGCCAGATCGATCATCCTTTGTCTTTTTCGGGCTAGCTTCCGGACGGGCCGGTCCATTAATTCGGTGTACCTTTTGGCCTTGGCCTTCAGGGTTGTATGCGTGTCTCTACCCCCTGCTTCGGCAATTTCCGAGTTACCCCGGTAGTCGACACAAGGGAGGCTATTAGTACAAAGCTGAAAAGGGGTAAACCCCGTGGATTTGTGAGGGGTGGCCCGATCTGATATATGATCTCGGGTCACGGACGCTTGTCGTGTGCCGCTAAATTCCTGTGAAGGGCGGTTTTAATCATACGGTTGGCGTTCTCAGCCAACCCATTCGACTGGGAATGTCGGGCTCATTCACCGTTAATTCCAATATGGCCCTGGGCCAATCCCTCAATCAACTCCAATCAATCAGGAACGTTTGCAACAGAGGGATCCTGATACTTACGCCCTGAGACGCAGACCTAGTCATCAGCAGTGACCACAACCCACCCCCCCGCTCACCCCCCTCTTCGTCCGCTCTCGCCACCTCCCTCCTTGGTAGGCATGACGCCTACGCATTCTCTGTGAGGTCAGGCATCTATATGTATTCAGATACTCATGTATGTCCATGAGAAATGAATGAGTGTGCTTCGGTTTGCTAGGGACGAGAACTTCAACTCATACACTAGGATAGCGCATTTCTGGGTAGTCTACGTGAATATTCACCTGTTTGGCAAGCAGTGCTCACACACAGAGATGTTTTAGGTGTCGATATGCTTGAAACTTGGGTTCCTCTTTTCCGCCTCTCCCCCACCCTCTCTCTCTCTCTCTTTCTCTCTTGCTCCTCCTGGGAAGTTTATCCAGAAGAGTTG